CTAGCCGTGAACGGGACAAGGAACAAGTTCTAAAAGCTTAGCTGTGTGACCCTGAGGCCAAGAGCAGAGCGGCAGCTCAGTTCTAGCCTTTGGGCCATTGGCTAAGCCCGCAGAACTACCAGGACAGGAATCCCAGTCCAAAGGGGAACCGGTAAGTAGTTCGGTCTCTCTGAACCTGCAGAACCTCTCAGTGGGTTAACAGTGTCTAAGTCCACCAGCAGACTATTGAAGCTCAACCCCACACAAGCCAACAGACCCAACTCGCATTGTCCAAGAGGATGATAAACAGACCACACCACTCTGGGAGTGCTAAAAATGTGCAGGCCCCCAGACTGAGCTGTGGAAGCAGCAAGACATAAAAGGATAGAAGGTCAAGTCAGACATCCCTTCCCAAAGTGTATGGAGCCCAGCGCTAACACAAAATCCAAAGTCCAGAAGAAGGCTGGAAGAATGGACAACCACAAAAAGGAGCCAACCACGAAGAGCTGCTACGGTGACAGGGAAGTCAAGACATAAACACAGAAGACAATGACTTGAAAACATCTACAAGCAGACTCAAAGGGAAAAGGGCAGACTGGACACAAATCTTACAAGGATTCCTAGAAGAGCTAAAGCAAGAGTTGGTTTGTTTTGTTTTTTTTAAAGGAGGGTTAAAAAGTGATTTTAAAAACCAAATGAGAGCAGTAGAGAAAACGAGAAAAGCAAAGACTAGGAAAGAAAGACAGGAAAAGAGAATGAACAGCTTTGTAAAAGAGGCATAAAACCTTAATGAAGAAAATAACTCCTTGAAAATTAGAATTGGCCAAATAGAAACTAGTAATTCCAAGAGACGTCAAGAATTGGCATAGGAATGCAAGACTGAGATCTGGTTAGCAGGCAAATCGTTCAAGTTTATTGTGAAAGCTGCAGATTTGGGAAGAGTCGCCCTTTTTTTTTTTTCAGAGTAATGGATCCCAAAGTATCAGTGAATATAGTGGCATATTTATACACTTGCAGACCCATAGGAGCTGAAAGAGAGTGGGTTTTAGTGAGAACAGATAGAGGGAGCAGGCTCCGAGGTCACATTTGGCAAGCACCCCAGGGGCCATATTTTTGGGAATTGATGCTTCAGTAGAAGGGTTTGAGACAAAAATGATCCAATTCAGCTGCTCAGATGTGATAAGGGCGCCAGGAGACTGCATGAATAGGAGTGAATGGGGGGCAGGTGGGGAAATACAGGTCTGAAAGATGAGAGCCAACTCTTGAAGGCCAACATTTGTGAGAACCCACAAAAGAGAGTGGCCTTGGGTGTATGAGAAAACCTGTTCTGCCAGCTTCCCAAGTTTTCTTCACAAAACAGATCAAATAGGCATCTTCTCATTTCTAATACAGGAAAAGCCACTTTTTGCCTTCAGTTAGATGATAGTTAGCATTTAGAACATAGGGCGAGAAATACAATGGGAAAGGATTAGGTATAGGTTTGATCTCTTCCATGATAGAATCTAACTTGATAAAGTTATAGGTATCCTATCCTAAATTCTCTTCTATTCCAGATTCAATTCTATTCTAGATATTTGTAAAAATGTTTCCTGGCTTTTTTATTATAAGGTCTTTTCACTGAAGGAACTATTTCTTTTCATCTTTATATTCCAAATGCTGTCTATAGTAAATCATAAGTCGAAAGGCTAATTTTGTTTACAGAGCCCTTGAAGATAAATGAGAATATGATGTAGAGTTAAACGCTTATCAGGTGAATGTGTGAAACTTAATATGGCAGAAGCAGTGGCAAAAAGTGGTCTAAGGAAGGAAGAAAGGACAGAGAGAAAGAGCCCTGAAAGCAGGAGTGGGGAGCAGAGGCATAGAAGCTGTGAGAGGTGTGAAGAAGTGGTAGCTCTGAAAGCATCGGGAAGGGGCAGCTAGGTGGCACAGTGGATAGAGCACTGGCCCTGGATGACCCTGGGCAAGTCACTTAACCCCACTGCCTAGCCAAAAAAAAAGAAAAAAAGAAAAAAGAAAAAGAAAGCATCGGCAAACAAGGTGGCCACCAAAAAGCATGGGGTGGAGGCAGAGAGTGGCAAAGCCAAGCTAGAAACGACCAGCCCTTGGGAGAAACTGGATGCCACAGAATGGGAAGGCCTTTTTCCAGGAAAGGAAGGATCTGTGAATAGGGGAAGGTGATGGACTCTTGAGGCCCCACAAGAAATGATACAACATTTCCAAAGGAAACATGGAGGATATATATGAAGTGTAACAGTGCAGAATGCCAAGAACATTTATCCACTGTTGGTGACTACCTAACCCCAACACTGTATGGAAAACTACAAAGAAGTGTGATAGATGAGTTATTGGACCCCTGTTTTATTCTAATCAGTGTTAATCAGTTGGATGTGATTCCCCAGGGGTGGTGATTATCAGCTCTGCATATTAGGCCTCAGAGCTGTGAACTGCAGATTGTAGGTTCACTTGCTCAATCAGAGGATGCTAACCAGACGCCCTCCACCCTTGTTTTTCCTTGTTATGGGGACTGAGCCCTGAGTGGCAGAGGTGACTCAATTACATGGAAAGCCCCTCAGCTTATCATCCCTCTGTTGCCCAACATGGGAGATGACCATGAGCATGGAGCCAATGAGTGACCTGGTTGCCTGTCTTCAACCTGCCTTTCTACCAGCCCTCCGCCCATGTGGATGCCTTGACATCAGCTCATTAGCCCAGCCCCATAAGCCTGCAATCTGCTTTGGTAGGACCTCCTGAAAGGTCAAGATAGGTCTCTTAAGGTCTGCTCACTAGCCTGTTTGGCAACCAATGGGATTTTGTATTTTGTGTAGACCCTCCTGGAGGGGCAAGGGCAAGGTCTATCCACCAATCAGATTCTCTATTTTTGGCCTGCTCCACCTGTATCGTCCGGCTATCAAGCACTATAAAACTAAGGCCCTGGAGGCACTGGGCATCTCAGATCCACTTCATGAGAGGGGGCCATGGACCCATTACTAAAATATCATTGGCTCAGAGCTCTATCTCAGTGGTGTTTTTTTTTTTTCTTGCAGATTGGACAATTTGAAAATCCCCACAGAAGGGAGAGAGTCCTAGAGGCAGCAAGGTAATGAGCAGCGCCTTTTGTTAGCACTTGGGAAAGGAAAGGAGCCCACGTGTTATTTTTAAAGACTGTAAATAAAGGCTACTCTTTCCCATGGACTTGTTGAAAATTTTCATTTCTACAGTGCCTTCCACTTACACTATGTGTGGATAGAGGGATAGGGATTTCCACATTGTCTCTTCCATTGACATTAAGATCCTTGAGGACAGGGGCCCTATTTTTGTCTTTCCTTGTATCTATTCCCAGTTCTTAGACCAGTGTTTGGCACAGGGCAGGCACCTGAGGAATGTTCGGTAACAGATTTTTAAATATTTTTGTTGACAAGTTATTCAACATCCCCCCAAAGTGCTCGCTGAGCCCTGACTCCAATCAGAGAGACCCCTACCACTTCCTGAAGCATCACTTTCTATGCCTGCTTAGCGTTGTTAGGAAGTTTTTGTGACAATCAGTCTAAATTTGTCCCTTTGAAACGCCCACCCTTTGCTTCTCTGGAGCTAATAAATACCAGTCTTTTCTCTCTTCCAGATATTCAAAGGTATCTATCATGTTCTCCCCAAGTCTTTTTCTCTCCAGGCCAAATATTCCTGGACCCTTGAACAGATCCCTCCATGGTATAACCCTGAAATGAATGCAGCTCATCAACATCCTTAAAACGTGCTGGCTTGAGTTGAACACAACCTTCCAGGTGTGAGCAAAGGAGGATCACACTGAGTTTATAACGTCCTCATTCCTGATAACCATGCCTTTCTTAGTGTACCCCACCACTGCCTCAGACATTTTGGCTGCAACATCATAGCACTGATGCATATTGAGCTCACAATTCAATAATAACAAAAAAAACCCAAAATCTTTTCATATTACCATCGTATCATGTCTCTTCCACCTGGAATTGTTGAAGTTTTGGGTGTTTTTCAATCCAAATGCAAGATCTAACCTTTATCTGTTTAATTTTGAAATTTGGCCCCATGTTCTACACTATCAAGATGCTCCTGGATCCTGATTCTATTATTTGGTATCACCCAGATTGATGTGAGCTCAAGTTTTTAAAAAATAAAATGTTTATTATGAACTTGACAAAAATAAACAGAGGATTATAGTTCCCAAGACCAGAGTGCGAGCTTGAAGGCTCTTACAGTCCAGCCTCCTCATACAGAGCCCAGTGCCTGCCTAATTAATACAAGCTTCATATAGGTTTTGTCTACCTATTTTACATCATTTCCATATACGAAAACCCTTGAAAACCAATACCAAAAAGTGTGGATTTTGATTATGTACAGGTTGTTTTTTAATTACACAACAAACTTAATGTAGTAGTTCCAGAACCGTCTTGTCTGACCGAGTCTGTACTTCAGTGCAATGAATGATGACTGCCGACGATGGAGGATGAGCAGAGATGCAGAATGAAAGGTCTATTGTCAGACACTGGCCGAAGTGCTGACTGGTTAGCTTGACTATGCGTATATGTTAAAATAGAAAGCCTTTGGGGGGTGATTGAAGAGACATAGGAGTTGAGTAGAGGAAGGTTAGTGACAGTGAGGCTGAAGAAAAAAGACCAAAAAAATATTTTTTTAAATACACAGAAGGGGGCAGAAAATTTGGCAAGCACGGCATCTGTGTGTTCACGGAGGTCACTGACAAAAATATTCAAGCAGCTCGGGAGCCTGGAGCACTCCCTTGCAGGCCTTTCACTCTGACACTGAATCGCTAATGATAACTCTTTAGAGCTGATGATTCAACCAGTTTTGGACCCATTTAATTTTACACTATCTAGTCTACATTGCTCTATTTTTTTTTCCACAAAAAAGATTTCATTAACTACCTTCATTCTAGGTTAAACCATACCTACAACATTCCCTTAACCTCATTCAATCAACAAGTGTTTTTTAAGTGCCTGCTAGGTGCCAGGCACTATGCTAAGCACTAGGGATACAAAGAAAGTTTAAAAAAAAGTACGGTCCCTGCCCTCGAGAAGCTCACAGGCTAAGGGGGGGGGTGGAAACAGCATGTAAACAACAAGATATAGACTAGTTTAGTAACCTCATCGATCAACAAAGGAAATGAGTTTAGTCTAGCGTAACATGTTCTTTTAAAATAATTTTTTAAAAATAATTTTGATATGTTTTCATATGACCTTCACCCCTTTCTACCCAGGGAGCCATCTCTTGTAATAATGAAGATGGGAAGGATAGAAAGCAAAACCAACCAACACAATCCAGCAAATCTGACAGTAAACACAAGGTTATCTATCCCCAATCTTCCCATTTCTGCAAAAAAAAAAAAAAAGGGAGACAAGTGCATTTCCCATTCCCTGGGGTCAAGCTGGGTCATTAAAATTACACTGCATTTAATTTTCTTGTTCTGTTTATATTGTTGTACTCATTGTCTATACTGTATTTCTGGTTCTCCTTACTTTATTCTGCAACAATTCATGTTGTCTCATGTTCCTTTGAATTCTTTGCCATTTCTTATATCACAGCAGTATTTCATTATCTATATAACACAATGTATTTAGCCATTCCCCAATCAATGGGCAGCTACTTTGCGATAGCCTGTTCTTGATGAAGGAATTTATTACATTCAAAATGTTTTGATCCAGTATGGATTTTCTGATGTTTAATAAGGTGTCCACTCTGGCTAAAGCCTTTGCCACATTCATTACATTTAAAGGGTTTCACTCCAGTATGGGTTCTCTGATGTCTAATGAGGTGTCCTCTCTGGCTGAAGCCTTTCCCACATTCATTACATTCAAAGGGTTTCACTCCTGTGTGAGTTCTCTGATGGGTGATAAGGACTGCCCTCTGTCTGAAGCCTTTCCCACATTCACTACATTCAAAAGGCTTCTCTCCAGTATGAATTCTCTGATGATAAATGAGGTTTCCTCTCTGACTGAAAGCTTTCTGGCATTCATTACATTCAAAGGGTTTCACTCCAGTATGAGTTCTCTGATGTCTAATAAGATGCCCCCTCTGGCTGAAGCCTTTACCACATTCATTGCATTCAAAAGGTTTCTCTCCAGTATGGATTCTCTGATGGCTTTTCAATACTTGACTCTCAATGAAGGCTTTTCCACATTCATTACATTCAAAGGGTTTCACTCCAGTATGGATTCTCTGGTGATAAATAAGCAGCCCCCTCTGGCTAAAGGCTTTCCCACACTCATTACATTCAAAGGGTTTTTCTCCAGTGTGAATTCTCTGATGGCTTTTGAGTACTTTACTTTCACTGAAGGCTTTCCCACATTCATTACATGCAAAGGGTTTCTCTCCAGTATGAGTTCTCTGATGAGTAACAAGGATTGCCCTCCGGCTGAAGCATTTCCCACACTCACTACACTCAAAGGGTTTTTCTCCAGTATGAATTCTCTGATGATAAATGAGCTGTCCCCTCTGGCTAAAGGCCTTCCCACATTCATTACATCCAAAGGGTTTCACTCCAGTATGAGTTCTCTGATGCCTAACAAGGTTGGCCCTCTGGCTAAAGCCTTTCCCACACTCATTACATTCAAAAGGTTTCTCTCCAGTATGAATTCTCTGATGGCTTTTGAGTACTTTACTTTCCCTGAAGGACTTTCCACATTCACTACATTCAAAGGGTTTCACTCCAGTATGAAATCTCTTATGTTTAGTCAAGAGTTCCTTGTGACTAAAGCCTTTTCCATATTGATTATACTCGCAATGCTTTTCTCCAGCGTCACTTCTCTGATGTCCAGTGATATTTTGTCTTCTGCCGAAGGCTTTTCCACATTCGTTGTGTTCATGTAGCCTTTCTCTAGTATGAATTCTATGAAATTTAATTAAGTCTGAGCGGTAACTGAAGGGCTTTCTGCACAAGCTACACTTACCCAAGTTTTTCTCTAAGGAGGATCTATTACACACATTCAGTTCTGAAAAATCCCTGAAGCTCTTTCCAAGTGTCTTATATTTGTGGAAACGTTTCTCCACACCTCCCTTCCACAATGCACCCAAGACTGACCCCAGACTAAAACTTCTCCCTAGTGTATTTCCCTGAGGCACACTCCCTTTATTAAAAGTTGTTCTAGGAGGGATTGCCACTTGTCTGGACTGTCTCTCTTGGCTACCCTTCGGTTTCTCTAAATTAATATCATCTTCTCCAGTTTCTTGAATCTTTGAACGCCGGATGGGATCCTTTGGCAATATTTTCTTGGATGATTCTTCCATGCAAACAGCCTGTATCAGAAGGGAGCCTTTGCTTGTAACCCTGCTCTCCTCAATAAAGGGATCTGAAACAAAGGAGGGAAAAGTCACTAAGCTACTATTTGTTATGCTGAAAAGAACTTTTATAGAAAGCTTTAGTTTCTATCTCTTCTATCAGGAGAAAAATGTTCAATCTGGACCAGGTAGAACAAACACTGTTTGGAAGAAGTAAAGCCAAAAACAGGTAAGGACATAATAACAGAGCACTTGAGTGCCCATACTCAATGAATTAAAAACCTATAGATGTCATTAAAAAAATACATCAATGAAAAAATTGAATTATCATCTGCGGAACAGAGGAACGTCACTGAAGAAGGGATCAACTAACTCTATTATTCCATAGAAAAAGCATAAAGAACAGACAAAACTATCCCTACTTGCTGATGACATGACAGTTTACTTAGAAAACCTTAGGAAATCAGCAAAGAAACTAAGCGAAGCAGTCAATAGCTTTGGCAGAGGTTCAGGCTACTTAATAAATCCACAAAAATCAATAGTATTTTTGTGTGGAAAAAGAACATAATCCAAGAGGCAACAACAGAAAGGGAAATCATACTCAAAATAACTACAAAATGCATAAAATATTTGGGAGTCAATGCACAAAATCCCCAAAGAAATAATAGAAAGGGAAGTATCAAGCAAAATGAACCCAAATGTCATAAAATTTCTGAAAGCCAACCCACCAGGGCATATTGGAGACTCAAATGAACTTTTAAAACACCTTGTAACCAAGTAAAGAATGCCTTTCAGCTGATTAGAGGGATAGACATTATTCATTGTTGGGCTGAGCCAAAATAATAAAATGATGATACTATCTAAAAAAATATACAGATTAGCAGCTATTCCAATCAACTTACCAAGGACATATGGGACCTTTATTTCTATCTTTTTGAGGCATTGGCCTAGAAGTGGGTTCTCTGGGTTCAAGTATATGGACATTTGGAAATTCTTCTTGGTTGCCTATGCAAAGAGGCACACTGATGCCCTTTTGATGGAGCTATGAATTGGTCCAATCATTCTGGAAAGCAGTTTAGAATTATGTTCACAAAGTAACTAAAATGTCCATACCCTTTAGGCACATACCTCAAAGAGGTCAAAGACAGAAAGAAAGATCACATATATGTCAAAATATTCATAACAGCAGTTTGTAGAGGCAAAAAGCTGGAAACAAAGCGGATGGAGATAAATGTGTGTGTGTATGTACATAAATATATATTGTATACACACACACACACACACACACACATATATATGAATGCTTTAGTTGATGGTTAGTCAATTTTAAATGTCTGTTAAAAATACAAAAACAAAGGAATACACATGTCTTTTCTGATACAGGGACATATGAGGAGAAAGAGAAAGATCAGAAAAGTCCTATGCTCAAGTGAAAGATGCACCTCATGCTAGCCAGCCCAAGGTCTTTGCCCCAGGCCCTGAAACCTCTGAGAAGAGCTCCCTATCCTATCTTGCAAAGGGGACGATACCTCAAGGACTCTCATCCATCTGTTCTTCACTCACTCACCTGGACAGGAGCATCTTGGTCCTCCTCCCTCAGGCCTCCATGGGGCTTCTCCTCTCTCCAACAGGGAGATCACATCCAGTTTGGAAACAGGAAGCCCTATATATAAGGAGAGAAGTGGAAAATTGCTGGGGACAGAAAGCTTTCTGCAGATCCCCTCTAGTCCCAGAAAAGAGGGCAGCTAGATAGCATAGAAGGTAGACAAGGGGACCTCTGAAGTATGCACCATTTTGTAATGTAAGGGAGGGTAGGTCACAAATCTAGTTTAGGCTCAGAAAGAAAACAAGTTCATTGAACACTCCCAATGCTCTCTCAAGCAATTAAACATCAGACATTCATTAAGCATCTATTACGTATGTGCCAGGCACTATACTAGATATTTCAGATACAGAAAAAAACAGAATCCCTCCTGGCCACAGTGAGACATGACAGGCAAACATCACGGAGATGTCACCAGAGAAAGAACAAGTACGGGAGAATCTCAAGGAGAGGGGTCAGGAAAGGTCCTAGGAAGGAGGTGATCCCTGAGTTGTGGAAAGGCCTCGGGGAGACAGGAGGTAGGAAGTCAAGGCCGATGTTGCTGGAGAGGTTACAAAGTGGAGTAACATGGCACCAGAGCCAGGCTGTCAGGAGCTTCTAGAAATGAAGAGTGGTGGGATCAGACCTGGGATATCCTCTGGGACTTTATTTTTAAATCTTTCAGTCATTAAGTACTTACTGTGTGTGAAGAGCTACACCAGAGAGATGTAAGGCTTAGCTAGACATTGTCTCTGCTGGCTTGCCTCATGGGGCTTCTAGTCTAGGAAGACTAAAATCCATGTAGAAATCTCTGAAGAAAAGGGGGAGGAAAGCCTTCCTGGAGGAAGAAGTACCCTAATCCCCTGAGATTTTGGCAGAAATCTTTGACCTGAGGGTTCAGGGAGCAGAGAAGCTGCAGCCTTGGGGCTGGCACAAGGAAGCTATAGGATTGCCATTTATAGCACAGGAAGACCTTTCACCTGGGAACCCAGAACAGAACCAGTCTGCCTATTAGCCAGAAAGGAGTTAGGACTCTCCCGGAGGGATAAGCAGTCACTGAATCACAGGGCAGCCCTGCTTACCCAAGGAGACCAGGTTCTCATAGTTCTCCAACATCACCTCCCTGTACAGGGCCCTCTGGGCAGGATCCAGGTGGCTCCACTCCTCCCGGGTGAAGTCCACGGCCACGTCCTCAAACATCACGGATTCCTGAGTCAAACACATTCCTGTTTAACCAGAGCCACTCCTCCAGGTCTTTACTACACATCACTTTGTCCTAGGCTCTTATGGATAGCGTTTCTTTATTGCTTATATTCACCCTGGAAAGTCCCTTTCACAAGTAAATCTCAAGAAAACATGTCCTTTACTCCTAAGGCCCCAGACCAGGCTCCATCTCAGAGCTGATGCACAACCCTAACATCAGCAATCCGCTCTAAATAGTAATTCCTAGCAGCTATGTAATAGCAATCCCTCTCCACCATTAACGGACACCCTGGGGCAGATGGCCTGGGGGAAACCAATCCCACACGTGGCTGGTCGTGCTCAGCGTTCTCTCCATTCCCAATTGTTAACGGTCCTTCACTCTCTCTCATAGAGGGATCACTGCTTCTCCACCCTACTACGGAAACCTGGAACAAGCTGGTGTCCTAGTTATTAAAATATGAACAACGGCAGAGGCCTGTTCTCAGGGAGCTATGCCCTCTAATACTCACTTCCATGGATCCATGACCTTTCGGATGATGGCAAATGAAGATTATAACCCACCCATGCCTTCTCAGGCCAGGTGATCCCAGAAAACACCCAACAGACTCCTGCAGAGGCCTTTCTCCTTCTCTCCTCCTCCTACTGAGGTGTTTGTACAGCCTGGGGCCAGCCATCTTTTATCCCTTACTCTCCCTGTAGGACAAGATCCCCTACATTTTCAGTTACACTTTTCAAAAAAAAAATTTTCATTGATATCTTTTGTTTTGACATTGCCTAGATGTCCTGTTCTATCCTTCTTCCAACTTCACCTAGAGAACTATTCCTTATAACAAGGTTGTATTTTTTTTTAATAGGGGAAGAGAAAAAGAAATTCAGCAAACTTGATAATGCATTGAAAAAATCAGACCTTATGTACAATGTGCTGCACTCATGGGCCCCCACCTCTGCAAAGGAACGGGGAGAGGAGTCTCTTCCTTTATCTCTGTTTGTCTCCACAGTTTCACGACAGTCAGTCTTGACTGTCCAGTGATGGTTCTTTCCATTGACATTGTTGTCGTCGTTGCTTACATTGTTTCCCCGGCTCTGCTCGCTTCATTTTGCATCCGTTGATATGAGCTTCTCCGTTCTTCTCTGTATTCAGCATCTTTGTTGTTTCTGATAGCTTAGTCATATCCCATTACGTATCGCCCCACTGATAAGCAGCTTTGTTTCCAATTCTTTGCTACCACAAAAAGGGCTGTTATAAATATTTGGTAGCTATGCTGTCTTTCGGATATAAGCCACTAGTAGTGAAATCTTTGGATCACAGAGTGTAGACATTTCAGTCATTTTATTTGCATAATTCCACATTGCTTTCCAGAGTGACTGTCCTAATTCACAGAGACCGAACAATGCATTCCTGCACCGGTCTTTTGACAACCTCTCCAACACTGACTAGTCTCATCTTTGCCAATTTTCCAGGTGTGAAGAACTTTAGGGTTGTTTTGATGTGCATTTCTCTGGCTATTAGTCATGTGGGACATTCTTTCATTTGGTTGTTAACAGACTGAGAATCTTCTTCCGAAAACTATTTCTTCATCTCCTTTGACTACTTATCTCTTGGAGAATAGTTTTTGGTCTCATACATTTCTGCTAATTGTTTACATATCTTGGACACCAAACCCTTACCTGAGAAATTTAATAAAGATTTTTTTCTCAGTCAACCACTTCCCTTCTTATTGCAGATGCGTTAATTTTGCTTGTGCAAAAGATTTTCATATAATCAGAATTATGTCTCTACTTTTTGCAACAGTCTCTATCCCTAGAGTTTGGTTAAGAATTAAACCTCAACAGACAGTTTTCAAAGGGAAAAAATCAAAGCTATTAATAGTGACAGGGGCAGCTAGGTGGTATAGTGGATATAGAGTCAGCCCTGGAGTCAAGAGGAGCTGAGTTCAAATCTGGCCTCAGACACTTACTAGTTATGTGACCCTGGTCAACTCACTTCACCCTGTTTGCCTCAGTTCTTTATCTGTAAAATGAACTAGAGAAGGAAATGGCAAACCATTATGGTATCTCTGCCAAGAAAACTCCAAATGGGGTCATAGAGGGCCAGACACAACTGAAAACAACTCAACAAACAACAATAGTGACATAAAAAAAAGCTCTAAGTCATTACTGATTCGAGAAATGGAAATTCAAACAACTCTGACATATCACCTCACACCTATCAGACTGGTTAAGATGACAGAAAAAGAAAATGACAAATGCTGGAGGGGACGTAAGAAAACAGTTTACACTAATGTGCTGTTGGTAGAGTTGTGAACTGGTCCAACCACTCTGGAGAATACTTTGGAACTACACCCATGGGGCTATAAAACTATGTGTACACTTTGACCCAGCACTACCACTAACCCAAAGAGTGTCTGTATCCTAAATAGAGCAAAGGGAAAAGAAATATTTATATTTATAACAGTTCTTATCGTGGTGGCAAAGAATTAGAAACTGAGGAGGTGTCTATCAATTGGGGAATGGCTGAACAAATTATAGTATATGAATGTACGGAGTACTCTTGTGCTAAAAGAAATGGTTTCAGAGAAACCTGGGAAGCCTTGTATGAATTGATGCAAAGTGAAGTGAGAAGAACCAGGAGAACAATGTACACAGTAACAGCAACATTGTAATAATAATCAGCTCTGAAAGACTGAGTAACTGATCAATACAATAACCCACTACAACTCCAAAGGACTTATGATGAAAAATGCTCTCTACCTCCAGATGGAGAAGTAATGGGCTCAGAGTGCAGATGGAATCATATTTAGTTCACTCTCTCCTTTTTTAAAAACATAGTTAATGCAGAAATTTGTTGTGCACGACTATAGAAATGTGTAATGGGTTTTATTTTTCTTGTCTTCTCAATGGGAGGGGAAAGGGAGAGGGAGAGAATGTGGAACCAAAAATTTAAAAAAAAATTGAATTTTCAAAAAAAAGCATAGACCTTGATTTTAGAATCTGTCAATATCTATTATGGAGACATTCTAGTTCTCATGATCTATAAGCTCAAGGCCATCTCTCAGAACGGCCAGAGGCTTCAAGGGTTAAATCTCTAAAGAAGACTGGAAGGAAAGGGTGCCACTGAAAATAAAAGGAAGACATGTATCGATACACTGAGAAATGATAAGGGATGCAATGTGACACAGGAGAAACTTGAATTCACCTGAAACCTGGCTGTGAGGAACCCAAAAGTCACTCCCTCCTCGTCCTCCATGCCGCTGTTTTGGTGAAGGGCAGGGCCTCCAGCTGGACAAGAAAAAGAAGCCATGGGGAGACCAGCCCTAAAGCCAACCTCCTAAACAAAGCCCTCGAGAGCACTCCAGATGTCTTCACCCAAGCCCATCTTCCTCATCTCTCCCACAGCCTAGATCAGCCCTTTACGGACCCCACCTGCCACTCACTGCTAAACAAAGTTATGATGACATTCTACCTTCAACTAAGACTTCACTCTGTCAGTCCTTTCCTTCTGGCACGGCACATAGTAGGCATTTAATAAATGCTTGTAAAATTTATAGACTAGCTCGGAGGTCAGGAAACGCTAAAGGACCTGGACCGGATAATGATATATCCTAAAGGGGAGAAAAACCAGGGGGGGAAATTAAAGTTGCAGCTAGCAGCTATGGCTGTCCTTTCCCAAGCTATCTCCCCACCCCAGACAGGATTCTACTCCCCCATCGGCGCTTCTGGAGTTCTTACCTCTCTCCCCAAGCATTGAGTCCAAGACCACGGCGTCACCCATCCAATCCTCTCTGGCCAGACAGGATGACCGCCACTTGTTCTGCCACCAGCAAGCAGTTCAGGGGCTGCCCCTTCACCTCAAGCGCTGTCCTGGAACTCTGATTAAAGGTCTCAGGACAGGAACCTTCTCCCGGGCTGGAGACATTTTCCTGGGAGACATCGTCTACCACCTTCACCTTCTAGTAAAGCCGGGACCTGGGAACTCAAAAGCACGATCACTTCAACTGGGGTCCTTCCCTCTGGGGCTCATGTGTATCTCTGGTACTACAGGCTGGGGATCAACTAGCATCCTTCCCAATGAAATCAGGGCTTGTAAAACAAGGCCCAATGTCACCACTTCTATCTGACCTAGTACAAGAGATGCTGGCTATAGCAATAAGACAAGAAAGAGAAACTGAGGGAGTGACTATAGGTAAAGAAGAAACAAAATGATCACTTTCTGTGGATGATATAATGGCATTCTTAAAGAACCCTAGAGAGCCAACTAAAATTAATTGAAATAACTTCAGCAAAATTGCAGGATATAAAATAAATCCACAGAAATGATTAGTTTCTATATAGTACCAATAAAACCCAGTAGGAAGAGAGAAACTCCATTTAAAATTACTACAGAATGCATAAAATATTTGAGAATCTACCTACAAAGTACATACAAGAATTATATAACTACAAAGCACTGCTTATAGAAACACAGACCTAAATAACTGGAACTGTAATTGTTCATGAGTCTGATGAGTCAATGTGATAAATATGACAATTCTACCAAAATCAATTTACTTATTCAATGTCATACTAATCAGACTATCAAAGAATTACTTTATAGAAGTAGAAAAAATAAGAAAAGTCATATTGTGGCCAAAAAGGTCAAGAAACACAAAGAAATAATGAAAAAGGTGTGAAGGAAGGAAGCTTAACAGGACCAGATCTCAAACTATACTACAAAGCAGTGATTCTTAAAATAATTTGCACTGGTTAAAAATAGAGATTAATTAGTGGAACAGATGAGGTATACAATGTACAGAAAAAAACGAACTTTTCACCTGGTTTTTGACAAACACAAAGACCCCAGCTACTGGGGTCCTTAATAAAGCTCTTTAATAAAGGGGTCTAATAAGACTCACTATTTGATAAAAACTGCTGGGAAAATCAGACAGTAGTATGGAAGAAATTGGATTTAGATGGACACCTCACTCCATATAACAAGAAGAATTGCATATGTGACTTAGATATAAAAGGTCACATAGTAAACAAATTAGAGAAACATGGAAAAACTTATCTCTCAGCTCTCAGAATAGAAGAAAAGTTCATGACAAAACAAGGGATAGAGGGAATCACAGATGATAAAATGGATGATTTTGATTGCACGTTCCATTTGGATACAAATCCCCAAACCTGAAAAAGTTTTAGAAAGAATTGCATCAGGTCACTTGACAGAGGAGGGTGGGCCAGCAAATGGGGCGGCTCCCTCTCATCATATTGGCAAAGATGACAAAGAAGGGAAATGACAAATGTTGGAGGGGCTATGAAAACAAGCACATTGATGTACAACCGTTGGTGGACCTGTGAAATGGGTACAAACATCCTGGAAAGCAATTTAGAATTATATAAAGTGACTCAAAAAGTGACCTTTTAGACCAGCCTTACCACTGTTAGCACTATACCCCAAAGAGATCAATGAAAGACAAAAAGGTCCCATATGTGCAAAAATACTGATAACCATTCTTTTTGTGGTGGCAAAAACAAAACAAAGTAGAAACTAAAGTATACCCATCAGCTGGGCAATGGTTGAACCAACTGTGGCATATGAGTGAGATGGAATATTCTTGCATTATAATAAATGAGGAACTAGATGATTTCAAAGAAACACGGAGAGACTGGCATGAACTGATGTGAGCACAGGAACTGAGCTAAACCAATACAACGATCTTCACTGTAACATCCATATTACCAAAACAATTTCGCAGATTTTTATAGGATGAAGAATGAATAGAACAGCACCAGGAAAATCATTTTTAGAACAGCAACAACATGGCAAAGACAATTTTGGGAGCTGTCAGAACTATGATAGATGCAATGACTATCCAGAAGTACCAAGGACGAGGCAACTGGGGTTAAGTGACTTGCCCAGGGTCACACAGCTAGTAAGTGTCAAGTGTTTGGTCTGAGGCCGGATTTGAACTCAGGTCCTCCTGACACCAGGGCGGGAGCTCTATCCACTGTGCCACCGAGCTCCCCCCCCATGTTGTCTACCTCCTGACAAAGAGGTGAGAGAGTAAGGGGGCAGATTTTTTGAGCGTGGGCAATGAGGCAGCTTGTTTTGTTTTTTGTTTTCCAATGGAGTGAGAGCTGAGAAGAAAGGAAAATAGATTGTGTTCATTAAAAAAAAATCTTAAAAAAATAAAAATAATGAAGCATGATCCAATCCAAAATATTGCGCTCTCAATGAAATCTTAATATACTGACTGCAAATAGGTTTTGCACCATTAATAAAAATTTAAAAATAAACTATTGTTTATTTCATCCTTTTTTAAGTTTTAATTTTTGGTTTGTTTTATAATGTACACTATATGTTAGTAGTACAAATGTATGACCCATAAATAAACACACACATTGACCGGACTGGGAGGAGAGCAGGAGGGTGGGAAAGGCATCCTACCAACAACTGTGTGAGAAAGGATGGGGGCAACTGGAAAGGGCAAGGAATCATAGCCCTGCAGCTAGGCAGAGCCTGGCCATAAAAACAGGCTGGTAATGAGTTTCATTGATTCATGAAAGAGTTAAGAAAAACCTACTGTCAGTCATTTACTGGGGAAAACAAGGCCTCATGGGCCCAGTGGAGGTGGGGGGTCAGCCACCAGGAGATGGTGTTTTTTGGGGGGGGGGAAGCACAGCAATGCACCAAGAAGGCCCACTACGGTGTGGAGGCGATATTATTCACTGCATTCACCTGCCGCCGCCCCCCCCCCCACGGAGCTGCCGACCCCCACTAAAACAAAGGCACAGGCCTATACAGCATTTTCCTTTAGGGTGTGCACCCAGGCTTTTTAAAAAGATGAACATTCATGGATTCATTACTTAATCATAAAGGATATTATTTTCATCCATAAACTAAGGAAACTGAAACTTAACTAACCTTTACTATTTTAAAAATTAACAACTACATCTGACTAAAAATATAAGCTTTGCCAAGAACTAACCTTTCACTCAAAACTCTTCTCCTTACCTTCAAATTCAGATCCACCGCCCTCCCCTCACCTCCCTCCTCACCTTCCTCCCTCACCTCCCTCCCTCATCTCCCTCCTCACCTCCCTCACCTCACCTCCCTCTCTCACCTCCCTCCCCTCCCTCCTCACCTCCCTCCCTCACCTTCCTCCCTCAGCTCCCTCCTCACCTCCCTCCCTCGCCTCCCTCCTCACCTCCCTCACCTCACCTTCCTCCCTCCCCTCCCTCCCCTTCCTCCTCACCTCCCTCCCTCAGCTCCCTCCCCCCCTTTCCCCCCTCACCTCCCTCCCTCACCTCCCTCCTCACCTTCCTCCCTCACTCAGCTCCCTCCTCACCTTCCTCCCTCACCTCCCTCCTCACCTTCCTCCCTCACCTCCCTCCTCATCTTCCTCCCTCACCTCCCTCCTCACCTTCCTCCCTCACCTCCCTCCTCACCTTCCTCCCTCACCCTCCTTCCAGTCCTACCCCCACTGCAGGCTACCTCCTGCCCCACCCCCTCACCCCCTTGGAAACAGCCCCAGATCCAGGACCCGAGGACCACAGGGAGAGCCCCGGTCCCAACCCGGCCCCACTTCAAGACCAGCCCCCGAAGCCATCACGGCGGGGCGCTATCACTCCGGAGAAGGGGCCCACCTTCGTCAACACCACCGCCACCGTTGAGCCCAGGAGCCACCGGAGTGGGGCAGCCCCTCCCTGCCCCGCCCCCATCCTCAGGGGACCCCGTCCAGGTGCCGAGCCCCAGAAAGGAGGCTCACTCCAAAGCTCCGCTGTGTTGCCAACTGGTTCCCCATCAGGGACCCGCACGGTTTTCTCAGAGGGAATGCCATTAAGGAGGCTGCACCCCAAGGTCCGGGGGCCCTTCCATCCAGTTCCTGCGGGGTCGTCTCCCCCATCAGAAGGGGAGCAGGTCTTCCACTGGGTCCCCAGCGCTGAGCAGGCTTTGCACATCGTAGGCGCTGACAGACGCCCCCTTCGTTCATTCACTCACCCACTGGGGATCAGAGAGTCTCCTTCCAAAGGGTAAAATGCTGGGTTCTGCCTTCGCTGCCCCGCCCCCTCCCCCAGAGCCCCAGGACCCACGAGGGATCGCGGCTCCGGCCCTGGACAGACAGGCTCCCTGGGTCCGGCAGCGATGCCTCCGGGGAGCATTTCCAATCACCCAGGGGCAGGGTGCACCTGACATGGGGGCGGGTGGGACGCCGAGACTGCGGTGACCAGCAACCAGGGGCCGTCCGGGTAAACTCTGCCCCCTGCAAGGGGGCATAATCGCCCACCTCCCCAGGGGTCACTCATCCGCACTTGGAAGCCTCCCTCCCACCCACGACCCTCACATCCGGGCTCAGATGGACCCATCGATCCAGAAGCATTTATTAAGCGCCCAGGATGGCCGAACACTGCGAGGCATCGGGGCTACCAGGACGAACGTGAAAACGGTCCCTGCCCTCAAGGGGCTTACTAAGGGATACAGGCGTGCGCACGGGGGACGGGGCCCTGGGAGCGAGTGGAGAAGGGGATGCTGGAGCCACGGAGGAGCCCCAGAGAAGGGGGAGCATCCCGGGCCAGGGGGCCCAGAAGGACGAGGCAGGATCGGGACCTTCCCAGAGGCCCAGCGGGGCCAGTCTGGGCAGGGCACTGAACGCCACCCCAAGGAGGGGACAGAGCCCTGGGCAAGAAGAGGGTCCGCTTTGGACTCGGTGGGGGGCTCCTCCCATAGTCCCCGGAAGGATGCGGGTGCACGCAAGCAGCAGTGGGTTGTCTGAACGGGGCTGACCCGGGACACTCCCCCCCCCACGCATCCCCTTCAGGTCCGCCAGGAGGCCGCGGGGGGCGGGGTTGGCTGGAGCTCTGGAGGGAGGGGTCCGGATCATCAGCCCAGCAGGAGGGAGGGAGGGCACCCACCGGGAGGGCTGGATGCTGCGTGAACCCCGCCCCCGCCCCGCTCCATCAGCTCCAGCTCCAATGCAGCCGAGGCCGTGGGGTCAGGGCAGCGGGTGCGAGAAGTCGTCGGTGTAGACAGGAGCCTCTCCCAGGAAGATGGACCCGTGGGCGGGGGCCACGAGAGTGGGTCAGTGGGAGAGGGGGCGGGATCAGGGACACGAGGAACGGGGGAGGGATGTCTGGGCGGGAGGAAGAGGGAGGGCTTCCAGGGCTTAGGGAAGGACGAAGAAGTTGTGGGAGGTGCGAGGAGGGCAGGTGAGACCCACGCGTGGGCACACCCACGCATCAGCGCCTCCAGCACACAGGCTTACCCTGGCACTCACACCCGTGGCATGCACGCGCGCACGCACAGACTCCTCAGGCACGCACACATGTGTGCGCACACTGGCGCACGCGGGTGTGTACGGATGTAGGTGCCGCACCTGCGCACTCTCTCCGTCCCCCTCCCCCCAGCCTCGGACCCGCGCCGCCCCGCAGCCCAGCCCTCACCTGACAGACTGTGGGGCCCCCGCTCTCCGAACCCCAAAAGGACCACTCCCACAATGCATCGGGCTAAGGGGAGGGGGCGAGTCACAACGTGCGGGGAGTGGAGAGGTGAGTCTCCAGATGCATTCTGGGAAATGGAGTCCGGCTGCGGGAAGGTGTCCTGGGCGCGCTCTGCGCACGCGCGGGTCCGGACCCTCCCGCCCGCGGCGGGAGTCTGCGCCTGCGCCCTGGACGAGGTGGACGGGGCTGGCCGGGGCGGTCTTGGCATTCTTGCCCATGGATGTCGCCTGGGCTTTGACCCCATCCTTGCTCCGCCCCCTCCAGGGACTGTCTGTGTTAGATCAAAGGGTGTGTTCTGTTGCCCACGTGAGTCAGGCGCGTCCCTGGGTCTGTGACTGAGGTGCTCAGGGAGGCGTGTCTTCCAAGGGAGACATGTGTATTTCGTATGTAGACATGCGTATGTAGATATGCACATATATGCAGTCTGCATGCTGACTCTAACTGGACTTGCGGTCTGCTAAAACCCCCAGATCTTTTTCAAAAGAACTAGCTGCCCAACTATACTCTCCCCACCTAGTATTGCTGCAACTGATTTTTTCCAAATAGAAGTGCTGGGAACCAGATTAAGATGTGATTGGCAAGTATTAAAAAAAATAAAAATACAATAGAACAAAATAATGATACATTTTCAAACTGTCAGTGTGCTCCAGACCACTGGTGTCAAACTCAAATAGAAGCAGTGGCATCAGTCCCTATGATGGGGTGCTTGAGGGCTTGTGCTTGTACTTGGACCCCAATTTCTCCCTAGTCTCAGAAAGTCTGTCTCTGACAACCACTCCCCAGCCCAAGGACACTGTGCCTAGCAGTTATTCATGCATGGGCCCCAGCTCGACCCTTATCTCTCTCCCTGGTGCAGCCACACAAAGCTGGGTGAGAGAGTGCTGGGCTGCTCAGGCCCCAGCCCTCAGATCATGTCTCTGGAAGCCTCCCAACTTCTTAGTAAGCGCCTGTCTTGTGAGAAAGCTTTCCCTTGTTGCAGAGCATTCTCTAATCAGGACAGAGAGAGAGGGGCATCTTGTCTGGCCCAAGGAGTTCTGTCCCTGGCTGGCCCAAGGATTCTTCCTCCTGCCAGATTCCCAAGATCCATGCCTCTGACATCTCCCTCCCTGTCTGGTATACTCCCTACACTTTCCCATCCATAGCTCCCAAAGACACCTGGACCTTTAGATTACCTCATCAGTGTCCCTGGCATTCCTTTCCCATGCCCTTTTCCATATGAACCCTAGCTCCATCCTCAGTCTCTTGCAGGTTCCTTAAGAATCCTTGCCTGCTGAAAAGCGTAACAATAAATATTTGCCACCTTGACTTAAAGAATGCTTGAGTCTGTGAATTCATTCCAGACGACCCCATCCTGTACACCAGTCTTTGAGGGGTGTCAGCCTCTCCGACTGCAACACCTACATAAGGATCCCTAGGGGCTGCATATTGACCTAGAAACCCACATATTAACATTATCTATGGCCTATTGTATTTTTATCAACTTTGTTAAATATTTCCCAATTATATTTTAATCTGGTTTGGCAGGCTGTGAAGTCAATCAATAAACATTTATGAAGCACCTATTATGTGCTAAGCACTGGAGTGGAGGCCTGCAGCCCTGGGGTCGTTTGATGTCTCTGCAGATTTAGGGGACCCTGCCCTACACCTGACAGAAGTAGAGAGATTCCTGAGGGCTGAGTCTGCTCCTGTCCTCACTGAACATCCTGGTTAATCTCCTCCCCTGCCAGGGCCAGGTAGATCTCCTGGTGGGAACCATCAGATCTTTCTCCAGAGTTCCATTTCATTCCAATATGGAAACCGAAACTACCAGGGGGCAGCTGAGCTATTCCTTTCCTACTTTGCTAATCTTCACATAGACCTACCTGGTTCCAAATGACCTCAGGCTGGGCATGGGCAGATCAGAGGAAGGTGAGCTCTAGCTGACCTTGCTGGTGGTGCCTCAGACCATGATGGCCACTTACCTGAGACAGCCCCCGTGCCCTTGGGAGATTGTAGAGCTATGGCTCTAATGGCTATGACCATTCAGCAGCCAGTGCTACGGGACTATGAAGTGTAATCTGAGGAAAACTCACCAACTGCCCCTTCTTGGATTGGTATGGTTTTTGTGTCCAAGTTCACTAGTTGGGAGGTTGTCCTTGGTATAGATCCTTGCATTGGGACAGGGTGCCTAAAGGGTTAATAACCTCTGAGCTACCTTATTAGTGTTGGGGGAGAAGCAGCTCCTCTCAGTGGTGGGGTTCATGTGGTTGGTAACTGCTGTCCGATATGTATTCATCACAACAGAAATGGGGAGGTAAAAACCTAGGCTTTAGTATTAGGCTCAAGCATAGGTGCAGGCCTCAGAGAAGCCCTGAACCCCTATTAGGAGTCTCACGAGCCCTCTTCTAGGCAAAGTGACATCAGAGTGACAGAGAAGTCATTCATTTACGTGTTGTGATCTTGTACCTTCCCCTCAGGCCATGAAAGTTAAAGAGAAGATAGATCCATAATGCCATGCTCCCTCCAGTGTCATGAAAGTGGAACAGACTTACACCCCTAAGGAACCAAGCTGCATCAAACAAACTTGATAGGTAAACCAAGTCAGGCTACCGAGTAAACCGCACCTGGAGGATTTCCCATAAGCTGATTGAGGAAGAGGATTTGCTTGTCCCCAAGGAGTCAGGGGCAGTTGAGAGGCTTCCTCTGGCTGCTTCTCTAAGGAATATTTAAGGCTCTGGGTCAATTTTCACATCCCTCGGCACAGGGCTTGATCAGGTGAGGTTAATATGAAGACAAGGGTTCAGGTAACCCAGGAGGAATGTCTGAGTCTCGAATAATAAAAGCAAAATCAAAACTTCCCATTGCGTTCCAGGTGACCCGGCTTGAAATGTCACTGCTTTCCTCGTCACCCCAATCTTTCTGGTGCTATTGCTCATGATCACCTCTTAGTATTGGGAGGCAAATGATGTGACTGGCAAAGATCCCCTATCCACCGCATGGAGCCAACCATCCAGATTGGGCCTTCCATTTAGGGGGCCTGTAGGAAGGAGAGGAGCCATAGATTCATGGCCATTGGGATAATAATTTTTCATCTATTTATTAATTTTTATTATTTGGGGAAGGGAGTCAAGGTCATTTATCCTATTGTGAATCCTTCTAAGTGTAATTTAATCTGTAAGCTGACTTAGTTTACCTATAGAGTTAGTTTGATGAAGTTAGGAGGTTATCGAACTGGCTGAAACCTGTCCTATGGGTTGTGAAAATTTACTTAAGGCCTCAAACATCCCTCAGAGAAGAAGCTAGAGGAAGGATCCCAACTGTTCTCAGTTGCTGGGTTATGTTGGTAACACATAAATCTCCCCTCTCAAGCAGCCCATTGTGAATTCTCTAAATGCAGTTTAATCAGTAACTTGACTTTGTTTACCTATAGAGTCTGTTTAGGTTTGTTTCCTTAGGGGATGTGTGAGATTCTGGTTCTACTCAATGAAATTTGTTCAACCTTTATGACTTTGAAGGAAACGTGGGATTGTGAATGTCTTTTTTTTTTTTTTTAACTTTCCATAGCCCAAGAGAATGTGTGAGATTGCAGTGTTTAAGGGAACTATTTCTCTGTCACTCTGACATAATTTTGTCTCTAAGAAGCCTTCTTAGAATCCTAATCTTGGTTCAGTGGTTATTTTTCTGTACACCCCCCTACCCGTATTTAAACATAATACAACCTAGGTTCTTACCTCCATAATTTCTGTGTGCTGGTAGTTTTATTTCAGCAGCGCTAACCTCCCACAAGAACTCAAAAAGGAGATACGTCTCCCGTAACACCATCAGAATAACCCAGGAAGCTCTCCAGAAGAGGAAAGGGCTGCCTCCTCGAGCCACTTGTCAGGTAAGTTAAAGTAGAGATGCCCTCCATGGATGGGCTGGTCCACATGGCAGCAGAGACCCTGTCTAACAGGCTGGGATTCTGATGTTTTACTTCATTTGAGCCCGTTTAACGTATGTTGGGACGAGGAGTAGTGACTCATTAGAACTTACCTTTACATTTTAGTTCAATGTCTAGTACTTAAATACTCAGAAATTCCAAGTCTAACCTGCCCAGCTACCCTAGCTAGGAATATGTCAGGAATGTTATGGGAAGGGATTCATGCTTTGTTCTCTAAAGTCCCTTCCAACTATCCAATGATGATACAATTAGATTTTAATTAATTAATTTAGATTTCAATTTGCCAACATTGGGTTCAACCTGATAAGCTTTAAACAGGGATTTGGGGGGGGGGGGCTAGGCAATGGGGTTAAGTGACTTGCCCAGGGTCACACAGCTAATAAGTGTTATGTGTCTGAGGTCGTATTTGAACTCAGGTCCTTCTGAATCCAGGGCCAGTGTTCTATCCATTGTGGCACCTAGCTGCCCCTAAACAAGGATTCTTAACCTGGGGTCCATAAACTTTTTTTAAAAAAATATTTTGATAACAGTATTTCAACATAATTGTTTTCCTTTGCTGCTTCACTTAAAAACTTAATTCTGAGGTGGGGTCCACAGGCTGTGCCAGAAGGGGTTCACAACACACACACACAAAAAGTGAAGTCCAAGGGAATTCCTTTCAAGAATCTCCTTCCTTGTGTCCTTTGGATTCACAGTCGTGATCCCTCAGAGATGATTTCTGTATTTTTTTTTAAATACAAGTGGTCTTATGATGAACTACAGTACAATTCTTTGAAGAAGGAAAACTTCCAATTGGTGCTTCCAGAAGTGACGTCTCCTTTCCTTAGCCCCGTGCCTTTGGAAAGAGAGACACCTCTTTATATCACCGACAGAAGCCCATTCAAGCCGGACTGCTGAATCAGCCGAGAGGTAACTTTTGAGATAAAAACTGGGACGGACCTCAGGGGAAAAACAAAGGTACCATTTCTTAGATTTCTAGACTCAAACTCACAGGCTTGAGGACTAAGGCTCAACCTCTCAAAAAGAAATATATGGATGAAAAGCATGGGGAGGGCAGAAAGCATATTTTAGTAATTCTATTCAATTTGCCCTTGCTATGAAAATAATGAGATTGTTTCCATAAAGAGATCTAAGTTTTTAGCGACCATCGCCTACTCGGCAAGCTGCCAGAAATGTATTGTCATGGTCCATCTGCTGGTTTGTTTATAAGGGAGGCTTCTATGGTGTGAGTGTTGGAGGGGATCCTGTGTCGTTAAGGAAGGGATGGGAATGTGAAAAGCATCAGTAAAAAAAGTTTTAAATTAGTTTTAAGGAAATGCATGGATAGTAATGATGCTCTCTTTCTCACCTCTCACCTGTCGGACAGCTGCTGTTTGAGATTTCCAGGAAAGATGAAATTCAGCATTGTCAGCCAACTCTTCCTTTGTCTGCTGATGGGGGCTTTCATAGGTGAGTTGACCTCTGAGAACACTAGCACATGGGGTGGTTAGAGGCAGAGTGAGTAAAGCTCCGGGCTTGGAGCCAGGAAGACCTCAGCTCAAAACTGATGGCAGATTTTCGGGAGCTTTGTGAGCCTGGGTGAGCCATCTAACCACTGGGAGCCTCAGTTTTGTCTTGTGCAAAGCCGTAAACATGATAGCATCTACCTCGGGGCTATTGGGAGGATTGCTGATCACGGCCTGGGAAGGACCTTAGGGTGCCCACTGTGAGCCAGTGACTGGTTATGCTAAGATAACTAAGATAAAAGAAGCAGATCCTGCTCTCAGAAGCTTACGCTGAAAAATGATTTTTTTAAAATATAAAGATCATTTTAGATTTACAGATGAGGAAATTGAGTCCCAGGGAGGCTGGTGGACTCCTTGGTAACTTTCCCAAGGTCTCAGAGGTAGGTTGTCTGACTTCAGCTTGGGTGTTTCTTCCACTCAAATGAAAGAACATGCATGAACTGCTTTGAGAAGCCTTAAAAATACCATATTTGTGCCACCTGTCGCTGCTTTGTTCTAAAAGGTACTGTGGCAGGCTCACCCACTCTTTCTAGCTGACACGTCTAAGTTAATTCCCATTTCTGGGCCTCCCAACATCCTTGGCTTTTGCACATGAAGGATTCTTTCTGGTGGCTCCAGAAGCTGACATGGAGCTAGCTGTCATGTTCTTGCCCTTCCTGTAGACCCCCCCTTCCTCTCCCCCCAAATGATGCATTTCTTCTTTATTTGTAGGTGCCAAGCCAGTCCAGGAGGATGGAGGTAATAGAATGGTTTTCATTTCTTACATCTCTCTGTGTGTATGTTTTTTTAAAAGACAGAATAGAAAATGAGTCGGGGGCGGGGGGGGGGGGAAGGAAAGCTGGGAAGGGGAAAACATTCTGTCTTATTTTAGGCAGATGAAAATAATGGCCAGAAATACAGTTAAGTGGCTGTGTGCATTGTCATTGATGTCTGGAGTCTCTGTGCTACCATACCAGACTTCAGGGTGGGAAAGCATGAACCTCTGGGTGATTCTGTAAATAAAAAGGATGATGTGTGTAAAGAGCCAGGGCCCTGGAGAGTCAGGAGATGTAGGCCTGAGCCCAGCTCTGTGACTTACTGTGCTGCCACGCACAGGCAAGGCAGTCAATGTCTTTGTGACATACTTTGCTCATCTGTGAAATGGGGATGAAGATATCTGTACTACCTTCCTTACTGGACTTGTGGGTTTGGGGAGGAAACACTTTGCAAAACTCCCATGGCCCGAGAAATGTGTGTTTTTATCACAGCCTCATTTCTCAGTCCTATAAGTCATATCATGGTCCAGTAGAAAGAACACTGACTCAGGTCAGAGGAACTGGGTTCAAATCCCACTCCTGGTGATGGCTATATGATCCTGGGCAAGTCACCTCATTCCCTTGGGGCTGAGTTTCCCCATCTGTAAAATAAGAGAGTAGATTAGGAGAGCTCTCTTCTAACTCTAGATGAATGGTTTCAGTGTTAGGGGCTTGGCTGGCTCTTCCTTCCAGAAGAATTTATATTTTGAAAGAGGGGCCCAGAGAGGGTAACACAAAAAGCAAAGACAGGAAACGTTAATGGTGGGATTTAGGCACAGAGTTTGGCACGTTTCAGGGCAAGAAAGTTTTTTTGGCCCAGGACCTTAAGTCAAAGAAGTTATAAAAAGTAAGTGATTAAGCGATCAATGAGGCATCCAGGTGGTGCAATAGACAGAGCACCAGGGGTGGAGTCAGGAGGACCTGAGTTCAAATCCAGCGTCAGACTGTGTGATCCTGAACAAGTCACTTCACCCTGTTTGCCTCAGTTTCCTCATCTGTAAAATAAGTTGGAGAAGGGAATGGCAAACTACTCCAGTATCTCTGCCAAGAAAACCCCAAATGGGGTCACAGAGCATTGGATACAACTCAGCAACAAAGACTGATTGAATCTTGTACTGGTCTAGATACCAGGGGTACAAAAACCAAAACGAATCCGTGTCTCCTCGAAGAGCTGACATTCCAGGCATGAATAAGAATGCACAGAATCCACGCGCAGTAGATCCAAGGCCATTTGGGGAGGGAAGGCCCTCGGGCTGAGGGCATCGAGAAAGGCTTCATGAACCAATAGGCGTTTGAGCTAAATCTTAAAGGAATCACGGGATTCTAAAAGGCCGAGTCAGAAAGCACAGAACTTGTGCTCAGAACTCCGGGGACTGCTTGGTCCCTTCATCACCCTCCCTGGGCTTGCTTGAGTTGACCCACCAGGCAAATGAGGGGGTGTGCACACGGTCTCTAAGATTCCTCCCAGCACTGGACCCCAGAAAGCCAGTAAGAAGTTGAGTTTAGGTGTATTGACCCCCACGGACCAAAGGCCCAGGGCCGCCGGCTGTAGCTACCCCTACCCCCCCCTGCCCCCCCCAGGCTTGAGTGTGTAGCCCGGACAGCACAGGAGGGAGCCCTGGTCACACGGCCGCGCGCTGCATCCCGCAGGTTTCCTGGCGTGGCCCTCTGCCCGTTACGGGGCAGCTCCCGGGCACCGCTCCCTTCAGGAATAAAGATCTTCTTTGAGAATCGTCTGCTTTGCCCAATGCCAACCTCCGGGCGCTTCTCTAAAGCGAAAGGTCAGCAGTTTCTGCTTCCCGTCCCAGACAGCGGGGCCCAAGGGCTCTGTCCTTGCTCTGTGTATCTCCCTTCCCTGGACACTGGCCACCAAAGCGGGGGAGTCTAGTTAGAACCAGCCCGGCTTCCTTTGAACCTTCTGAATTTTAAAGGACTTGGCAATCCCATGTGGGCTTCTCCTCGCTATTGAGTTACCTCGTTCATTCATGGGGAATTACAGCCCGAAGTGAGCAGTGATATGAAATGAGGGCACTATGTAGGAATCGATCGACTAAGCGATCAACAGCTGCTCCTTGGCGACCTCCACGTGGCCAAACCTGCGCCTGAAGAATCTGGGCACACCGAGGTTGAGGAGCATACAATTAGTGAGTGTCTGAGGCAGGATCTGAAACCAGATCTTACCAACTTCAGGTAGAGTGCTCTAGCCACTGCTCACTACCACCTCATTGCTCACGTCTACCTTTTGTTTCCATGAAAGCCGTTCTCCAGATGGCTGGTTCTGGTTCTTCTCCATTGGGACAGAAGCGGCTTCCTCTGGGTTCACCTGGTTCCTTTTTCCATCCTCAGAGGCAGCAGAGATTGGCCATCCTCCTTCGATCGGGGTTCCACAGTGGCTAACTTCACCTTGTCCTGTGTCACCTTGGGATGCCCTGAGTCCAGTGGCCTTTTCTGAAAAAGCTCCTAGGGCCTCAGAGACCCTCTAGGTCAACCCCCTCAATTGACAACTGAGGAAACTGAGGCTTGGCCAAGGACACAGAGGGAATGAGCATCCAAGGTGGGATTTGAACCCAGGTTCTCCCACTCCAGTTAGCAATCCTCCCCCTATACCATACTGCCCCCATGAGGCCATATCCCAAAGCTTTGCAAACATCCACCATCCTCCCTCATACCTTTCCACGCCCAAGTTAACTTTGGGCAGGAACAGCAGGAAGGTCTTGCATCCTGTCAAGTGCTTGGTCTGAGGCCGGATTTGAGCTCAGTTCCTCATCACTTCAGGGCCGGTGCTCTATCCACTGCGCCACCTAGCTGCCCCCATGTATCCATTTCTTGTCTCTGCTTTGTGAGAGCGGGAACTGATTTATTTTTTGTTTCTATATCCCTAAGCTAGACTAACACAGGCCTCGCACACAGCAGGCACCTAATAAATGCTTGTTGGTTGATTTGCTGATCAGTTGGTAATCCTGCCCAAATCCCACCAATTGAGGCACCTCCATGAGCCTCAGTTTCCTCCTTTGTAGAATGACCTCTGGGGTCCCTGCCAAGTTCAGATAGATGAACCCACCGCCCTTCAGAGATCACTGAGGCTCCAAGCCATCAGGCACCTTCTGTTCATTCCCGCTCTGCATCTCTGTGTGACTGGTTCCCTCCCCTCCCCTATCCAGACACTATCTATTCCTGAAAGTTTGAGAGCCTCCCCCTCCAGGAAGCCTTCTTGGAGTACTCCAGCTCACACCAGCCTCTCACCAGAGGCAATTAGGTGGAGATTAATGTGTCTGACTCAAAGTCAGGAAGTTCTGAATTCAAATCGTGCCTTAAACACTTACCAGTTGTGTGACTCTAGGCAAAACATTTAGGCTCAGCCTTAGTTTTCTTAACTGTACAATGGGGGTAATAATAGCACCTACCTCCCGGGAGTCTTGTGAGGATGAAATGAGATGTGTAAAGTGCTTTGCGGACCATAGAGGACTATAGACGTATTAACTATTATTATTATTCTCTCATGTCCCATGGCCCTTTTTCTTGGACAACACATACAAACACTTGATTATGTTTCGTTTTGTATTGTTTCTTTCTTGTCCCACACGTGTAGGTCTTTTGTTGTTTTTGTTGAGTCACGTCTGACTCTTTGTGACCCCATTTGGGATTTTATTGGCAAGGACACTGGAGTGGTTTGCCATTTCCTTCTCCAGCTCATTTTACAGATGAGGAAACTGAGGCAAACAGGGTAAAGTGACTTGCCCAAGGTCACACAGCTAGGAGGTGTCTGAGGCTGGATTTGAACTCGTGAAGATGAGTCTTCCTGACTCCAGGCCTGGTGCTCTGTGCACTATGGCACCCCCTAGCTGCCCCATATGTGAGTCTTGTGTCCCACAACTCTGGGAGCTCCAAATATGGCAGAATAGTATCTTCTACCATTGTGCACACAGTCAAAATAACTCATATTTTGACAACCAAACCTGGAGGTCTGCAGAGGGTTTCCCCCCACATCACACCCCCAAGTTAGGCCATGTAAGAAGTGTTGTCCCGGGCAGCTAGTTGGCACAGCAGATAGAGCACTGGCCCTGGAGTTGGGAGGATCTGAGTTCAAATCTGCCCTCAGACACTTGACACTTACTAGCTGTGTGACCTTGAGCAAGTCACTTAACCCCATTGCCTCACCATAAAAAAAAGTATTGTCCCCATTTCACAGATGAGATAACTGAGGTTCAAACAAGTGAAGGTGATGTATCTGAAGTCATACAACTAATAAGTGTCTCAGACTCAGGTCTTTTAACACCAAGAGCAATGTTCTTTCTGCTAAATCAAAAATGATTCTAAAAAGACCCGCTGCTCTAAATCCGTGGCACAGGGACTCAGAGGGCCTGGGTCTGAATCCAGCCTCTACTACTTACTGCCTGTGTCACCCCAGGCAGGGCTCTGGGCAACCTCTCTGGGCCTCCATTTCCTTATCTGTAAAATGAGGAGATTGAGCTAAGTGGCCCCTGATGTTTCGGGTCCATTCAAGAAGCCTTGGGATGATCTCTTCTGGGTATCTATAGTGCTGTGGAGTGGGGCCAGGTGGGGGGCACGGTGCATAGCGTGTGGGACTGGGAGCCAGAAGACCAGAGTTTGAATCCTGCCTCAAATACTTCCTGACTGTGTGGCCATGGGCAAGTCATTGCACATCTCTGGGCTTCAGCTTTCTCACCTTTCTCACCTGAGGATAATAATAGCACCTACCTCATAGGGTTGTATAAGGATCAAATATGTGTAAAGAGCTTTGCAAACGTTAAATCACTATATGATTGTTGGTTATTATTATTATTTTCTCTTTTCATTAGATCCCTTTGCGGAACTGCCGGCCTTGCCCTACTGGCCTTTCTCCACCACAGACTTCTGGTCCTATTTCGAATACTTCCAGACGCTGGGAGCCTACCACCAGATCAATGATATGGCCCGGACCTTCTTTGCTCATTTTCCCCTGGGCGCCACCCTGGGTTACAATGTCCCTTATCAGGAAGACTGAAGCTTTTTCCAAGCTCCCTAGAACAGAGACCAAGGAATTTCAAGCCAACAGGTCAATTTCCTTTCTTCCTAAAATGCATGACCACGATATAAACACTTAGTAACACTCCATTAAATCAAAACAATGCTTCTTGAGGGGGACCCCCATCATTAGTACAATGCTATTTTCCTCTTTGTAAAGCTCCAAAGAACATTAGTTTTGCTTTCTTGGAGCAATGTTTGTGCTAAAATATTAATAAAGACATTTTGAATGGACTATTGTACTGCGTTTGTCAAGGGTGAAAATGTGAGCTGGGAAACCCTAAAAGAACAAAGAGGCCACCAACAGGCAGCTCGGTCTTAGTTATCGTGATGGAAGCTTAACATCGGGAGGACAGAAGTGGGGAGTCCCACGCTCTCCTGCCCTGATCAGACTAACTCTGGAGCAGGGCACTGCGATGTGGCTGCCCCACTCTGAGACGCCAGTGAGCCCCACCAAGTTCAGAGGAACGTGAACAAGATGGTGAGGGGTCTAGACAGCATGTCGACGCAGAATGGCGGAGGGCAATCGGGACGCTTAGCCTTGAGAAAAGACAGAGGAGGTATTATAGGGATATATAGCTGAAAGGTTATTTGTAAGTGTAATCAGTCATTCCGTGTAGCTCCAGACAGCAGAACGAGGGGAAATGAAGAGGGTTATGTGGGGTGGATTTTGGCTCAATGCAACTTTCCAGCCATTAGAACTGTCCCATCAGAGCCAGGGCTTGTACCTTGGTGGCATAACCTTGGAACACTGAGTCACTGCTGTGTCCCAATCAGCTACCAGAGGAGGGCTGCTGCCAAGGCTATGAGGTCCTCGTCACTGGAACTGTGTCCGGCACCTTGTGGAGCCGACTCCTGCACTGGAAAGAGATTGGAATAGAAGAGGCAGGATGGTGCCTCAGATAAGGCGCTGGTTTGGGCTCAGAGGACCTGGATTCAAATCCTTGTCTGATGTTAGGCTAATTACCTAAATTCTTTGGGCAGGAGAGAGGGGAGAGCTACATTGGGAAATGTAGGTGAAACAAAATAAAATCAATCAAAATGGATTAAAAATGAATAAATGCTTTTGGCCATGCCCTCATGACATGACGTCAGACGATGCCTTTGGAAGACTCCCTGTCTCATGTCTCATGGGCATCTCCTTTGAAGACCTGGAAGCCTTAATTTGGTAGAAGTGGGGGTGCTGCCGCAGGTGACAGTTTTAGGGTGGCATTAGTCACTGGTTTTTGATACAAAGTAGCCACTTTCTGGCTTTCTCTTTTTCTTATGGAAGTCATAGAATGTATCAAAGGTTTTCCCTCTTGCATTCCTTTTGAGAAGACAGTCAATTGGCTTGATTTCTGACCATGCTTTTATTAATGAAGACAGCAAGTGAATAGTTGAGCAAAAGTCAGTAGTAAAGAAGACAAGAGTCCACAGTCCTTGAATGCCGGGCTTGCAGTTTAAAGTCTGGAAATGATTCTTCAGCCGCTTCTGTTCATCGCTACAGACCATGAGAGGTGACATGGTAGAGTCCAGAAAGACCCACATTTTTCCCACTAAGGTTTTCTTTGGCTACAGCTTCTGCTTCCTGCTTCTCCTCTCATTACCTGCTCAAGCATTTCAATTTAATCAAACTTCAATAACACTGGAAAGTTTAGGGGCAAAAAGCCTCTGATGTAACTTGATCTAGCTTCTAAACTTACTTTTTCTCTCCCCATACCCCCTCTACAGTATCTATAAGCAAGGCAGACCCTTTGAGGCTGTAACTGCTTAATTATAGCCAGCTTAGGGAAGACATGAGCCAGAAAGACTTCAAATTTTGAGAACCCACAGTTCACCTAGGGCAGTGCTTTACCAAGGCTAGAGGGGCGAGGCTTGGCCGGATCTCCAAGGCAGCATCTCACGCAGAGTAGAGAACAAGGAGGCTAGCTATAGTAAAGAAACCAAGTACCTTTCCCTCCTTCTCCTAAATAAAGTCTTTTATTTGTTTGTGGTTTTATAAATTCTCACTCTGAGGATCAAATGATTTACACATGTGAAGCATGTTCAAACTTTAAAGCAGTATATAAACGCTAGCTGTGCTGTATATATGAATGATATAGCTACATATTTATAAACACCCACATTCAGCTGTAAGGGTAAAAACTGATGCCAATGCCCAATACCATTATTTCGGGATCACAGTAGTTGTAACACTGTGCCCATCCACTGGTGCAGATGACAAGAGATAATGCCTAACACCTTAGGAATTGTTGACATCTCTTTCTTAAACTATAACTATTAATTTTAAATTATAGCATTTTAAAAAGGAAGTTATCACTGGGGATATGTGCAATTCTGTGTGCTGATTCAGAAACAGAAATAGCAAACGGTAGGGGTTCTATTTTTAGGTTTTCAATATTTACATATGACTCATTTTTTGTGTTTTCTTGCAACGTTTAACTCATTGGCTAAGCAGGAGGCAGCGTGGAACTTCAGACGGCCTTGGAAGCCACTGAAAATGACAGTTCGTGTAGATTTCCTCAATAGTAAGGATATTATAATTCGGGATGACATTTCTTCTTATTAGTTCATCAAGTCCATGTTACTTGTTTTTGCAATATTGGAAATTCGGACAGTAGGATAGTTCAGATACCCATTTACAGAATAAAACAAGATAAAGAACATCACGACATCAGACATTAGGAACTGTCTTATTTACCAAACTTTAAAATGCATTCTTTTTCCAGGGGAAATATGGTTAAGATTGTCCATGGCTTTATGTCCCGGCACTGTAGCTTAGATTCTGGGTAAACAGTTGGTATCACCATCTCTCCCTTTTCTCCCTTGTTAAACCAAACAATTTTGACAGCAAGATCAAGAAGGAGAAGTAGCTAAGAATGAAAACAAAAAACCGAGTGAGAAATTGCCTCGTATTTGATAATAGGATGGGGACACACACGGAAACCACTCTCCTTCTGCCTTTGACAGCTATGGCTTCCTGAGGAACCTCTGAGACAGCCCTCCTCTGATGGCTGATTGGGACACAGCAGTGACTCAGTGTTTCAAGGTCATGCCACTGATGTACAGGTTCTGGCTGGTCTTACCTACCAAAATGAGCCTGGCCCAGGGTGCTTATCATCCAAGGACCAGCCCCGAGGGCTCATTCCCTGAAGGCTGCTTAGCAGCTACACTTTCTTTAGACTATAGTGGCCCAGGAAGATCTGCTACTAAAGCTGAAGGGGTCAAAGTCTTCTTTAGAATACACGCAAGGATGAGATCACAGATCTTGGGAGGGAATCAGATTGAGATTTTCACCATGGATAGCCACCGACCTTGGGTTCCTCTCTGTACTGTGCCACAGAACTAGAAACAATATTTGTTTGACTGCCATACAGTCATTATAACATCCCAGGATACATAGAAAAGAAAATCCTGATCCAAATTATGTCCCTTATGGTGTAACTACAGGGTGAGGGTTAATTTAATTCCTAGTACCTAGAATTATAAAGACTTTTCACTTTCATGAGGCAATGGTGAATTCTGTTGTGAGCACATTCACAAAGCACGTGCTTTATGGGCCACAGAAGAAGGCTTTGAAGGAGCCTCTGATATCAATCAATTAATCAACATTTATTAAGCACCTACTATGTGCCAGGCACTGTGCTGCCCTCAAGGAGCTTACAATCTAACAGGGAGACAACATGCAAACAAATATATACAAAGCAAGCTGTGAACAAAATAAAAATAATTAAAAGAAGGAATAAAGTTTGTTAGAATAGAATTTGACCTGCACCGCTGCCTTTGAAAATCAAGAACCACAGAGAACCTTAAGTGGGTTGAGCTAGTAATTAAAAAAGCAGCTAGGTGGTGCAGTGGATAGAGCCCTAGGCCTGGAATCAGTAGGACTTGAGTTCAAATCTAGACTCAGACACTTACTAGCTGTGTGACCCTGGGCAAGTCACTTCACCCTGTTTGCCTCAGTTTCCTCATCTGTAAAATAAGCTGGAGAAGCAAATGGCAAATCACTCCAGTATCTTTGCCAAGAAAATCCCAAATGGGGTCATGGAGAGTTGGTCACCACTGAAAAGACTCACCAGCAATACATACAATCTTACTTCTGTAGAAATTAAAATTGAACCAGAGAAAAGTAGGCGTTTTTCACATAGCAAATGATTAAGGCTCCACAAAAATAAAATATATGGAATTTTTAAAACGTTCACTTGTCTGGAAAATTAAATCAAATGGGCACCAGAGCCTGCCAAAGAGAAGAAGGTAGTGCAGTTTTTCTGCTAGATTTTGTGGGCAGTGATGCAACCAATATTTACCCTTCTTTCAATTCAGTTAGCAACAAAACGTCTTGTTTCCTAGCTCATAATTACGTCATGTTCATCATTTTACATACGTGACATTTAGACCAAAAGGATGTAACATGTTCAGTTCCAGTTCCAGTTTATTCATCAAATGAGTAGAAATGTCCTTGTCCTTGGGTGTGGGTTATAGTCATGGTTTAATGGGCTTCCATCCTCCTGCTACAGATATCTCATGTCCAACAAGACCATACATGTAGCGTGCTTCACAAATCCCAAAGCATAATGGAAACTGTGAACTTTAATTTTTATTGTTCTGTGTAATCTAATTATTATAAATGTGTAGTGATCCAAGATTTGTGCCTAAGGAGCATCACACAGAATGTCGGTGTTTAAATTCTGTACTTCTCGTAAAAGTATTCTTACTTTTTGTAAAATGAGATGACTGCCCGCCTTCTTGCATAACCAAGTCTCCAGCCATACCTCCCTTGAGCATTTCATTAATTCAACATATGTAACGAGTATTCATTAAGCACTTTCCCATGGCTAGGTGTTGTAGAGGACAAAATAGCATACAATAATGAAGTTAATTTCCTCTATTAATAGTGTTCCAATAATTAGAGTAAATTGTTGACTTATTTAACTGCATCTCCAGGCACCTACCTCATCTTCTACTTAATTTTGTTTCTGTTTATGGTTTACTTGGAAA